CGGCCTGGTAGCCGTCGCGCTGGGTCAGGTGGGCGGCGCACGGCTCGTCAGACCACTGGGGGGGGGGAAAAAAAAAACGCAACGCTGTTTCAACACGGGGCTGAGCTACTACAGGATATGGCGTGAAAATAAACTTCATTCCTGTTCCTTTCTGTTTCATTTTGGTGACATGACCACTTTCATTGATGTTGATTTATGACGACAACAATTATGTCACTTCATTTCGCTCCTGCTGTGACTTGAATTGAAAATATTCATCCCGGTCACGTTACCAATTTTATTCTTGTAACAATTGAACGTAATTGTCACCATTCTATTACGACAGAGTTGCCCACTTCACTTTCGGTACTTTACGACTTGACCGAGAGCGTCGGAGACTCGGCAGCCGGACGAGGACGACCTCACGGAGACGATGGGCGGTGATTACTTTTCCGACAAGGTCAAAAAGCTACCGTGAGGGAGGAAGGAGCGAAGAGGCGAAAGCGAGACAAAAAAGACGTTTCAACAGAGCCCAAGTTGAGACGAGCGCAATTTGCCGTCTGCGAGGATACATGAAAAGAATCAAAGAGCGACACAAGAAGAATCGCTCTTCAAAGTGGACCTTCACGAACGCTTGGGGACTCTTTCTTTTTTTTTTTGGTGTGTGTGTGTGTGTGACATCGCCGTTTCCAATCAAGTCACCGGAACTCTTGAGATAAGAGGACAAAATGGTGTGCACGAGCAATATCACGAAGACGGAGTGAAGCGATCGGGTCAGCGAACGTCTGTGGAATAATAATGAGTCAAAAAAATACATAATGTATATCCACAAAAATGAAACACTTCTTGACATCAATACATAGCAAACGGTGGCCGGGCCTCATGAACTCACCCGCAGGAAGGAGGGGAAGCCGACGCCGTAGTAGCCCACGGCGAAGTAGTCGGGTTTGGGCCGGATCACCTTGACGATGTTCTCGTAGAACTGCGCCTGCTTGCGCTGTGAGTGGATGCGCAGATGTGAAACGTCGTTCTGTCACCAAGCTCATGTTTACGGTTGTCTCAACTCATTTTTTTTTCCCCCACAGTCAAGGTACAACCATATTTGGGCAATTTTATTCAAAAGAAATAAAAAAAATTACTGTACCAGGGATGCGCTAAGCTGCTCAAAGTCAAACATTTCATTTTCGTACTGCTCGGCTAGTTCCTTCCCCAGAATGATGGCTTCCTCCCACATCTGCAAAACAAACACACGTGTCCATTTGCAAGAAAAAAAAAACAACCCACACACAAGTCCACGTTTGAATGTTTGCTTAACAATCTAATAGAGCAGGCGATCACACGGCGCATTCCGATCAACAAAGTGTGTGCCTTTGCGCAGTTCACCTTGCCCTTGTCGAAGTAATTGATAATCTGCTGGTAGAGCTGGTCCTTCAGTTGGCCTTGGGTGGCGGCCTGGTAGCCGTCGCGCTGGGTCAGGTGGGCGGCGCACGGCTCGTCAGACCACTGGGGGGGGGGAAAAAAAAAACGCAACGCTGTTTCATCATCAAGGCAAGCGAATGGTGGCCATGTTCGACTGCTTCCAACACTGGAACAAATGCGATCCATTTCGCTGCTGCTGCTGCGTATTGATTCGCCGACAGCCGGAGTGCGCCATTTACATGCTAAAAGGATTTCTGCTGATCCACCGCTGACCTCTCCATCCGCGCGGCTTGGCGCGGCCACAAATGATCCGCTGAGAGCTAAAGTGGGCCGAGTCCGTTTTTTCCCCCCATAAGAAATAAGCATGTTTTTTTTTTTTAAAACATGTACCTTAAGTAGCTAGGCATGCAGCAGCAGCGTGTAAGCTGCCTCCGTGTAGTTGTCGCACTCCTTGTGGAGGTCGCACAGCTTGTACAAATACCTTTGGGACGAAGAAGAAGAAAAATATGTATCTCAATATAATTGCATATTATATATAGTTTTAAAAAAATCACAAGTGTGTCATCAAAGACGGAAGCGCTTACCTGATGTACATCTCCTCTCGGTCAATCTCCTTGTAAAAGTTCTGTGGAGGAAAAGGACACCATCAGGCAAAAACTTGAAATGCAATTATTTATTTATTTTTTTAATCTTACATTTTATTCATACTAACTAGATACTTAGTCATGCATTTTCATACATACATATTCATAGGCTTATGATTTTATTTTGGAATTAAATTGAAATTATCACGTTTCCTTGCTTTCTGATTATTATTATTATTTTATTATTTTATTTTTTGTCATGCGACAAAAAAATTGACTTTTGCAGTCATATCAATGCATGCATTTATTTTTTTAAAACAGTGTTTTCTTTCCCTTCCGATGAAAAGAAAAGTAGAGTGTCCATCTACCTGCGTATCTGTTTGTCTATCTACCCGTGTCACTGACCAGCACATTGACGGTGCAGCTCATGCGGTTCTCCTTGTTCTCGTCGTGCATGATGGTGCGGTAGTCCAGCAGACGCTCCAGCAGACGCACCACCAGGGTGACAAAGTTCTCGCCGCTTTTGGCCAAGTACTTGTGCTTCCGGCAGTGTTCCAGCAAACTGGAGACGGGCACCAAAGAGTGTTAGCCTTTCAGCGCCATCTATAGGCGCAACGCCGGGATGCGCACTTACATCTTCTGGAAGAGGACTTTGTACTGCTCGTCCCCGCGGCCGCCCTCCACCTCGTGATCCAGCTTGGTGATGATCTCGTTCTCAAACTGCAATGGCGCGGCGTGATAAGTTATGACGTTGAAAGGGTCCGTGTCATTTAAAGGTGCCTATGCGCGCGCCGCAAAGTGGATTCCCCTCATGCAGAAAAGCTTCATTTTATGCCATAACGAGGCAGAACATTAGGGTGCTCGCGGCGCCACTGTTGATAATCGCGGCGCAACACAACAAAATGAGATTTGCCCAATTACAAGCCAGCTCGCGGCTATACACCGTTTATTATCCCTCACATTCCTGTTTGAGACACCCGCTTCACTCCCGTGTGATTGGAGTGCAGTAGCCGTGTATTATTTTTCTTTCAATGCGAAAAAATAGCACTCGTGATAGCATTTGATTGTATGCTATTAAAAAAAAAAAATGCAGTCGTAATTAAAGAGAATTTAAAGAATTCAACAGTTTTTGGGGCATGACTTCATGCTTCAATTCAATGAACACTGTGCTGTGCTGTGCGGATAAATACATGAAAATTCCTTTTGTTTTTCAGTAAAATCAAACCAGGATGAAGCAAGCACACTTGGCATCTTTTTTTTGAAGAGTGGGTAGCCATTTACCAGACACACATTTTCGCAGGCTACAAAAAAATAAATCCCTGACGTACCCTCTGGAAGCTGCACGTGAAGTGGAACTCGCACTGCATCATGTCAAAGAAGATGGCGATGGTGGCCTTGCGCAACTCTATCTCGGGGACCAGCGTCATTTCCAGGATGGGACCCACCATCTCAGGGATGAATTTGATCTTGTGGGGCCCTTTTTGGGGATTGAGAAACACATCATTTCAAGTAAAACGGAAGGAGAAAAACAAAGCAAAACAAAGGCATACGGTAAAAAGCTCTGGTCAAGGAGTAAGATGAGAGCATTTAAGGGATTCTGAGGTAAAGAATTCTAATGAGCCCCCACTTGTGCCTCTCTGGACTACAACAACAACACAAAGCCCATTCAAGTACATTTTCCCCATTTGACAGCAGTTATCGGCTGCAATGGGGAACCACGGACGATGATCAATAGCCCCGAAAACAAAACATTGTGCTTGTGTAATTACCTAGATTGTACCACATATCCCGGATCTCAAAGCCGATTTGCCGCCGCATGTCCTGGTACCTGGAGGCATCAGCGGGATCAAAAGGGTCAACTAAGCTCATTGCGTTATTCTGAACAAAATATTCCAATGAAACTGGATAATACAATCATTTTAAAAAAAGGCGGTGGGGAGTAGTGGGGGAAGAGCAGGCTTTATATTTTCACATTAACGCAGTCATGCTACTGAAACAAGAGCAGACCAGAAGGTGACCGCTGCACGCGCGCCGGCCCGGGTCGACTCACTTGTGGCAGATTTTGGCCCGCTTGTCGCTGGAGAAGTTCTCCAGCTGCAGCGACTCCTGCGTGAGGAAGGCTACGGCCAGGTGGAAGTAGTTGTTCCACAGCTTCACGCATCAAAGAAACAAACAAAGCAGATGTGAGGCAGAGCGGCAAAAGGAGGATTTGTACAAACAGCAGGGGGCTTGAATAAACATTCAGACATTGACAGCTTTGTCAAGGTACCGAGGAGTTCATATCTTACCTGCAGCTCAAAGTTGGTCTGATCCAGAAATTTCTTGTTCAGCACGGTCGCATACTGATTAATGGCCCGCAGGAAGACCCTGCGCAGATAAGCGGTGCACAAAAGTGTTTGGCGCTCACATCTGATAAGCGGGTGCACCAGAAAATGATATTTTAAAAAATGGACTTAAAAAAAAATCCAACCCACATACTTATAATCGCATTTTGTTCCCCTTTATGCAGCCTTAAAAGGTCACTTTCCAGTGAAACTACTTTGCCTTGTAAAACAAAAGAGCCAAAAGCGATTGTGAGTGGCATGTCTCGCAAATGCCAACAAACTAAAAAGCTCATGTTACACCCCACTGAGCAAATCCAAAGTCAAACGGAACCCCTTTGAACTCCAAGACAGTTTGACCAATCAGCACAAGTGAATTAAAAAAAAAAAAAAAAGGTCTACCCCACTCGCCCGGTTCCAATGTTAGGTTCCAAACTTTTTCCATCATGAATGTGACCGCTAAAAATTTTTTTCAAGGTAACTCATTGTGCCTCACAAAATTAAAAGTACAACCTTTACAAAAAAAAAAAAAAAAATCAAATCAATTCAAGACATTGATAGTAATCAAGTATAGTAAGGAAAGTAAATAAGTAGCAAACTAAACTCTATTCATGATATAATCTCCCCCCTCCCAGCCGCCTTTGCCATAAATGAATCAAGTGGAGTGAACGAAGCAGCTCACGGCATCCAGACGGCGCAGCAGAAGGACTGCGGGGCGGGAGAAAGCGTGCAGGGACAACACCGTCCGACTAACTAATCCGCTGTGATGTCCCGCAATTAAAAGTTAATAACTTTAGCGGCACGGAGCTTTTAAAAGGCTGGGGGAGACTTTAGTTAACTCACCCCTGCCCTGCCACGGCTCATCCCGCAAAAAAAATAAAAAATCTTCAGCAGGCGGACAAATGTCCGTCGTAAAACGGATGATTTTGTGGAAGGAGCAGTCCACCGGGTTTTGTGGTCATTTGCCCCCGGAAAGCTGCGTGAAAGATGTTGAGGTGAACCAAGGTCAACTGTTGGGGTTTTCACAAGCATCAAATAAAGAGGAGACAAAACGTAATACTGGAGTTAGTCCATCTGGCGGGCAAGGTGACGGAAAATGTTCCTGATTCACTTTAGAGCGCCTCATTGTCGGCCCAAAAATATGGGCGTGTCACTCAGTGAAAGATGGAAGAGCCAGAAAGAAAGCCAGCTGGTCGACCGGGGCTTCAGGCTGGCGTAGCCACTTTAGAGTGCCTCGTTGTCAGTCACTTCAACATGTTGCCCAACACTGCCCTTGAACTTGAACGTGAACAAACGCCAATACTGACGCGATACATGATTCATATCTGGCGCTGGTGTGCCACACATATTAAGTGTCACCTTAATCATGACTGGCAAAGGTTAACACCTGTCAAGGAACGCCACAAAAAAAAAAAAAATCCTGCCCAGCTCAGCGCTCAAGACTTTTACCAGCCCGCCGTTGTGCACGTCTCACTCAATTTTCTGCTACCGTGCACATGCCAATATAGCTGATATACTTAACGGCGGGGTTAATGCTAAAATTGCTTTCCAATGGCTGCACCCCACCAGCGGGGAAATATTAAGACAGGACGTTTAAGGTGCTTTTGGGGAAGGAGAATAGACAAACGCAAACAGGTGCCATGCCGCTAATTTTGAGACTTTTCCCGCAACACATTTTGGTTGACTTCCTCTGTTTTTTCAGGCATGGCTTCTTGAGACTTTATTTTGTGTGTGGGTCTACTGGTGATAGACATGCCTACCATATTTCATGCCGGCAAGAGAAGCTAATACTTTGGGGGCTGATTAAAAGAAATAATTAGCAACATCCACATAGAATGAAGAAAACTAAAAAGTCTTGCAACTGCCGCAGATTTGAGGCGCTTTCCACATTTTACCTTTTTTGTAAGTGGACTTTAAGACAAAGCTATGTGCTTTTAATTCACTTAGTTTTATGTTGAGCTTGACAGTAACCTGAAACTTGGAGTGGCTCGAAGCCTCATTGAGAAGTCTTTTTACACTTTAATGACAACTGCTAAAGTTGGAGGAATTGGGTAGGATCATTTTCTATGGTGTACCCGTGGCTAAAAATACACTTGAGAGTTGCCATAAGGAGCTTTGGACATGAAAAAAAAAATATATATATATTGTACAATACAATACAAATATTCATCAAGACTGAACCACAGGAGGAGAAGGGATAATATTTCAGTCTCAGTAATAAGTTTCGGCACTTGAATGTGTGTTTGAAGGCAGGTCGCCTGAGCGCCGACATGTAATTGGCAAAAAAAAAAAGGGGGGGGGGGAGGGGGGAGGACAGTTCCACCGTGAGCACATCCTGCCATTAATTAAAAGTGTGAAGAAAAAAAAAAAACACAACTAATGAGGCGGCCGAAAATAGAATGTGCTCTTGCCATCACGATGATGAAAATGCTCCAAAAAGACCGTTTGAAAGGCAGCCTAGAGATTTACAGAATATCGTCACGGAGCCTCGGTCAAACCTTTTCAGCCGTGCAGCCGCTTCAAGATGAAAATTTCAAACTTGCTAAATTTCAAGTTGCTAAAGTGAAATTAGCTTGAGAATGGATGAGAGGAACGTTAACGGCACTTCTATTTGCGGCGTGTCAAATCTAGAAGACGTCTATTTTTACTTTACATTGACTTAGAGACGCAGCTCAAGTCGTCCTGGTCGCCCAGGTAACAGAGCGACGAATATGCGCCCCCCCCCCCGAGTCGGAAGGAACCTTGAGTGCTTTGGAGCCGCCTCTCGGCATTAAGAGCCATTTGAATACAGTACACACGCCTCGTCGTTATGATGAATACACTCAATCAATGTGCCGCCGTCGGAGAAATCACCTCATTATCGCTGATGGATGGCCGCCATTTTGAATCCTCAATGTATGTCGGGGCCCCCTTCGCCCCCTCCACAACCACCTTCCGTCCCCTTGCAGCGACGTATGCTAATGAACATTTATCAGCCGATCATACTTGCTAATTGAGTTCAGGGAGCAACTTGGGAGAATGATCCCCCATCTATAGTCGGTCGTACGCCGTGTAGGAAAAAAGTTGTGCGCAAAGAGATAACGGCAAGGTCACAAGGCTTAGTTATCAGATCAATTTATTAAGGCGATTAGCTCCATTTCAGCCACATGATGAACGCGCCGTCCGTTTAGCCATCGACACGCTTGCAACGCGACTTTCGCGCCAATGTGACAAGGCCGTTCTCAAACTTTGCCGGCACGATCCGCTAGCGCAGACAAAGATGAAAACTCAAATGCCTCGCAATGGAGCATCATCGAATTGTAAAACTGCCAAGGGAGGGGACTGTTGCCTTTCCCCAGAAATGATGTGAAAACTCAATATTTTCCGTGCCAAATGTCACGACGAGGCGGCATTTAGCTCAAATGAATCCCTTCGTAACAAGTGGCAACATTGCAAATGCATTGCGCTCGTTATTCTAATTCTAGCCCAATCTGCTAATGAAGTGCTGTGGGAACCGAATGGACGACGAAAGGGGAACGTGACGAAGAGGATGATGATGATGATTAGGATGAGGAAGAGGACTTACTGTAGCTTTGTGAGTCAGCACATCGGCAGCAATAAAGAGGCACGGCAACTGAACTATCAAAACTAGCCTGCGAGGGAGTACTTTCAGCCGACTGGGCAAAACGGCCACACAAATGTTGGCTAACAAAGTTGAAAGAAAGAAAAAAAAAAACATGTTGCACAATCTTCCTATCCCGGTGAGGAAGCTTAAGCCAACGTCTGCTAATTAAGCGCGAGAACAAACAAAGACACGAGGTTACCTAAGGGACACTTGGACGTCTAATGAACGGCGAGAAGTAATTTTGCACAAGGCGACACGGCTACGCTGCATTGTAGCTTATTCGGGAAGCAAATTGAGAGAGTACATGGCGAGAGAGAAGGGACGCGCGTACGAGTCGGGGGCGCTTATGGATCGGCATCGCGAGAAGATGGATCGTCAAGCTTTGCGTCTTACAGCGAGTCATCGAACTGAGCCGCCCTGCTTCGCCGACACCGAATGACGAAAACGCCGATGACCCGCCTGCCGAGCATATCTGGTTCAAATTGGGTGGCACAAAAACAACAAACGGCCAATTGTGATCAAACGTCAAAACTTCACCAGCGGTCCGCTAAAGATGGTTCAAATTTGGCCGACCGCTTCGCTTTGAAAAGGACACCAGGGAATAAGCAAATTGCGTCTGAACTGAAAGTTGTGGCCGCTAAGGCAAAATAAAGTCGCGCTCACGTCCCCGCGTGACCCGGAGGCGATAAGAGGTGACAGCAGCAGTTGGCGAACCGCGGTTAAAATATAGATTAACTGCTCAGGAGAAAAAAAATAAAGAAACAACCGCCTTTCGACTACTTGCCTTAACTTCACGCGACAAGCAGCGCTTGAATAAACCACACCGCTTTTTTTTTTATATTTCAACCAGGGTGGCACCGGGCCAGGTTGGCAATGAATAAAAGACGACAAGCAGTCAAGTCAGGAAAAATGGCAGGACTGAAAGTTGAGAGATTAGCATTTATAATTCATGCGACTGTTTACTGGCTGCTCATCTGATTGCCGCACTGCTGCCGAGGCCTGGTGTTGATGTTATTTGCATGGCGGGATCGGGGTGAGGGGGGTGGGTTGGG